ATTGACTATTGGGATTGCGTTAAATGTGAATTCTAAATCTTCAAATTCACACACATTTATTCGGGTTTCACACATTTTTTGAGATTTTGAACGTTTCAGCTGCATTATTCATAATACGAATTGTGGAAATGGTGAAAATTTTATCGCATTCGTGGAGTTTTTCCTCCCTTTGTTTCTCTTTGGATGAACCCCAAACTTTCCACTTCATGGATGAAGAATCTACCGTGTGTCTTGCTCTACGGCTAAAGCGAGGGGCATCAGCAAAGACACGCCATCCACTGGTTCATATCTATTGCCATTCCATGCACATCAAAACCATGTAAGGAAGGCATGGAAAAGTTTGGATGCGAAAAACGTGTGAAGAAAACCGTGACATAAAATATGCCTCAAACTCACGATGAGAACTGATAATAACCTTAAAAACGTAGAAAACTGAAAAATAGAAACGCGTGTTTTCCTCGTTTTCTACCTTCAAATTCACACACATTTATTCGTGTTCTGAGATTTTGAACGTTTTTCGCGTTATTCAGCCGTTCAGCTGCATTATTCATAATACTAATTGGAATTTCGGATAGGTATTAATTGGAAATGGTGAAAATTTTATGGCATTGTTTCTCTTTGAAACTTTCCACTTCATGGATGAAGAATCTCTTCACTTTTACCCAGAGTACAGTAATACCCTGGGTCATACAGCTTCAGCCATTCCATGCACATGAAAACCATGTAAGTGGCTAGTTTCGAGAATGGAAAGGCATGGAAAAGTTTGGATGCGAAGAAAACCGGTACATAAAATGTGCCTCAAACTCACGTTGAGAACAGATAATAACATTAAAAACGTTGAAAACTGAAAAATAGAAACGCGTGTTTTCCTCGTTTTCTACTTTATGCCGCATATTCGGCAAAAAGACTGCCCCGGCTACTGTGGAGTTTTTCTCCCTTTGTTTCTCTTTCATATGATATATAATGGAATTGACGTTCTTGTGCTTAAATGAAGCAACGTAGTAACATGAAATAGAAACGTAAAATATCACCATGATAAACGTAAAACGGTCAAATATATTTACCATAAACAGGGGGTTTTTTAAAATTATAAAATGGGGATAGATGGCTAACCAAAAACGTTGAATAGAGCAAATATTGGCGATAAAAAGTACCCTGCCGAAAATGCAGAAAAATATGTTTAATATAAAATCTATATTTGCGCCGAATTGTACCTTTTCCCAGAACGGGTCACATATATCTCGTTTCTTGTTCTTATTTTGCTGACTTTTGTCGAAAAATATACAAAAATAAGCGCAGTACCAAACTTTACAACCAAACAAAAAGCTACTTCACATAAATGCGGCGTAAGTCACATATCTCAATTTTTTCGCACGCGATATCTCGGAATATCACATATTCGTCAATATCCTGCCCGTTTAACTTTTTTTGCCAATTCAAACAACGTCATTTAGCATACCCTTCATTTTGTACGTTTATTTGTGGAGTTATTTCCCCTTCCATATTTACTGTTTTGTATTTCACACAACGTTCAATGTCCATTTGTACGCAACATAAACGTAAAAATTTAAATATGTGTGTTCATACAAAAGGGAAACCACATGGAACCTCATCGAACCTAAATTGAGCAATTTTGGGTTTTTGCCCGCATATTTTCATTATTGTGCATGCAACAGCAGTGTATAAATAAACATTGACTTAATAAAGCAGTTTAAAATGCGATAAAAACGTTACTCAGGATAAACGGATAACAACAAATAGTGTCATCCTCATGATTTCTAGACTTCTCGACTTTACTGAATTTCTTCCTCGGGCATTTCAGTCTTCCAGAAATACGAAAATCCTTGAGTCCGGTACCATACACAGCGTGCATGCTTGTAACTGGAATAGAGATATGAAATATGTCAGAAAAATATGTTAATATAAAATAACGTTTTACGAAATAATGGTGCCACATTTAAAATCTGTATCAAAAGATGTAGAGTTATATACGTCTTTTTTTCTCATGAAGCAAGAACAACTCAAAAAACAACATTACTCTTAATAAACGTGTGATTGTATGCTATGTTATGGTGAACATAAACTTGTTGGCTGACTTTTACAACTAGGCGTAGCAACTTCAATTTAGTTGACCGCAATATCAAAACGCGCAATCAGATGCACCGAATTAGAATTTCGCGGACGGGGTTGCCATAGCTCTAAACGCCTCGTCCATGGAGTCCTCGGTGCGCTCCAACACCGACAGCCAAGGTCCCCCGGTGCGGGAATTGCGTTAAATGTGAATTCTAAATCTTCAAATTCACACACATTTATTCGCGTTCCACACATTTTTTGAGATTTTGAAAGTTTCAGCTGCATTATTCATAATACTAATTGGAATTTCGTATAGGAATTAATAGGAAATGGTGAAAATTTTATGGCATTCGTGGAGTTTTTGGATGAACCCCAAACTTTCCACTTCATGGATCTACGGCTAAAGCGAGGGGCATCAGGTTCATACTCTATTGCCATTCCATGCACATAAAAACCATGTAAGGAAGACAGGAAGATATTCGTTTGAAGGCATGGAAAAGTTTGGATGCGAAAAACGTGTGAAGAAAACCGGGACATAAAATATGCCTCAAACTCACGATGAGAACGGATAATAACCTTAAAAACGTCGAAAACTGAAAAATAGAAACGCGTGTTTTCCTCGTTTTCTACCTTCAAATTCACACACATTTATTCGTGTTCTGAGATTTTGAACGTTTTTCGCGTTATTCAGTCGTTCAGCTGCATTATTCATAATACTAATTGGTATTCGGATAGGTATTAATTGGAAATGGTGAAAATTTTATCGCATTATTTCTCTTTGGATGAACCCCAAACTTTCCTCTTCATGGATGAAGAATCTACCGTGTGTCTTGCTCTACGCTAAAGCGAGGGGCATCAGCAAAGACACGCCATCCACTGGTTCATACTCTATTGCCATTCCATGCACATCAAAACCATGTAAGGAAGACACGAAGATATTCGTTTGAAGGCATGGAAAAGTTTGGATGCGAAAAACGAGTGAAGAAAACTGGGGACATAAAATATGCCTCAAACTCACGATGAGAACTGATAATAACATTAAAAACGTCGAAAACTGAAAAATAGAAACGCGTGTTTTCCTCGTTTTCTACTGTGTGTCTCTTGTGATGTTGACTCGATTTGACTTACCTTCGCAGCTACATTGAGTTATGGGCGGTCAATGGAACCAACTGCTTTGGATGGCAGAGTGGATCACAGCAAGAACGAAAGCATGACAACGCAAAATAATGCTTAAAAACGTATCAAAATACATGAAATATAAATGATAAACGTAAAACGATTAAAACGCAAAAGTAAATAAGCAAAAAACAAATAATACTCTAAGAGAATTTGCAGCTTTCCATATATCTGGCTTTTGTTCTTAGCCTCACTGCTTTTCCAAATATAATTTCGTTTTATTGGCTTTTTTTCACTGACAAAATTACGTGATTGTAGATGAGCACCAATTACAATTGTGGGTGGGCATTAATTGGACTTGTGGGTGAGCACCGATTGGAATTGTGAGTGCGCATTAAATGGAATTGGGTGGGAACCAATTGTAATAGTGGGTAAACATTAATTGGAAATGAGGCTGTGCACGAATTGGAATTGTGGGTGGGCGTTAATTGCATTTAAGGGTGGGCACCAATTGGAATTGTGGGTGGTCATTAATTGGAAATGCGGGTGGGCACGAATTGGAATTTCGTGTTGGCCTTAATTGGAAATGTGGCTGTGCAAAAATTTTAATTGTGGGTGGGCTAACAATTGGAATAGTTGGTGGGGATTAATTGGACCTATGGGTAGGCAACAATTGGAAACGTGGCTGGGCTCCAATTGGACTTGTTGGTGGTCAATAATTGGAAACGTGGCTGCACTTGTGGGTGGGCATTAATTGGAAACGTGGCTGGGCACCAATTGGACTTGTGGGTCGGCATTAATATAAAATGAGGGTGGGCACCAATTGGAATAGCGGGGGGGGTGGCTTGCGCGCAGTGCGCATTCGTTCCTTAGCGGAATTGACTGTAGGTGCTTGGATGATACCACGAAATACATCATATATACAAAGGAAATGAGGGTGGGCACCAACTGGAATTGTGGGTTGGCATTAATTGGATATGTGCGTGGGCAACAATTGGAAATGTAATTGGAAATGCAGGTGGGCACCCATTGGAATAGTGGGTGGGAACCAATTGTAATAGTGGTTAATTCAAATGTGGCTGTGCAAAAATTGGAATTGTGGGTGGATATTAAATGCAATTGTGGGTTGGCAACAATTGGAGTAGTGGGTGGGCATTAATTGGTACTATGGGTGGGCAACAATTGGAAACGTGGATGGACAAGTATTGCACTCGTATTTTGTGCCACGAGATAGGTCATAGAAAGGAAATGACCATTTGGAATTGTGGGTGGGCATTAATTGCCAATGTGCGTGAGAGTTGTGTGTGGCATTAGTTGGAATTATGGGTTGGAAACAATTTGAATAGTGGCTGCGCATTAATTGGAGATGTGCGTGGGCAACAATTGGAATTATTCATGAATTGTAAACGTAATCTTGCGTTTATCTTTTACACTCATTCCTTCGTTTATCCCCCACCTTCTAAATTCATACACATGCTTTTTCTAACTTTTTTTTTAATTAGACACAAAATGGATTTTTAATACGAAATGTGGGTCGGTGCAAATTGGCATTGTCACGATTTTTCATGTATCTTACCGTTCTACATTTATCCAGCTCATATACACTTTCATTTGATACGTTCTTTTTCGATTAGTGCCCTTGTTCCAGAGCACTTGTTTTCAGTTATGTACAGATCAGCTCATATTCACAGCTTCTATGTTCATACACACCTTCCTTTGACATTGTAGGTGGGAAACAATTGGAATTGTGGGTGGGCGTTAATTGGAAAAGTTAGTGGGCGCCAAACGACGTTTAGCCGGCTAGACGAAGTTAACAAGGCGGGCGCCATCTCGCTACGCAGCGCGGACGCGGTAGGGCTCAGGGCCAGGGCGCATGCGCAGCATATTATGGCGCCCGCGATAGTGTATGAGCGAAGATTGAAATTGGGATCAACCTAGCAACGTTTGCAGGTCTCTCCTCTACCGCCTGTCTGCAACAGAGCTCGGTTTTCTTCGAGAAAGTTGTACACCATGGGCCACCAGCTCCACGACGACTTCGAGTTCCCTGGCGACAACGGTTGCCGAGTTCCCAGCGACCAACTACGCTTCAGTCTCAGTCGCTACATCGGGTGCTTTCCCACAGCCTCGTTGATGGGAATTGCCACTGGGGGGTCGAGCTCCGTTCCTGGCTCCAGCGGCCTGTGGTATCCGCTTCATCTTCACTTCCGAGCAACAGCAGCGTCCTTCCAGCACTCCGGGTAGGCATTTCATGTGCTCTACCCTTGTATGGGGTCATAACCTAGAGTCCCTCGGCGTTGCTGTGGCGTATGATAGCGAGCTAGCTTAATGTAGATACAATAGGAAGGCACAATTCTACGTTTATCACACTGCTTCCACGTTCATATTTCTCATTCACACGCAATTGTATCATTGTTTTTGCGTTTAATCTGCTCTGTTCTCTGAGCATTTGCATTTGCACCTTCTTATTGGCTTTTGTTGATACTCCAAATTGACACGTTATTTTGGAATTGAGGGTGGGCATTAATTGGAATTGTTGGTTTGTGCAAATTTGAATAACGCGACTGGGGGCTTGTGATATCGCCCTTGCTGCATAGATAATGACGGCTGTACGCGGTTATGTATACTAATGGCGAGTGAAACTCAGGGCGGTCTCGCGCGTCGCACAGGCCTCGCCCTGAGGGCATGGCAACTACGAGCTGAAAACTCAACTCGCGCATTCTAACTCGGACCGCAGAGACATGCATGCTGTTACCGAGTGCCGCCGTCCAAGACGACGATGATGCGCCGTGCTCGATGGCTGCTCGAAGTCGATCTTACAATCGTGCTTGGAGATGATGGTTATTTGGCGCCGAGACCATCTTCCACCTGGGACATGTGGACCCCTCAACATTGTAAAGGACTGCGTGGGAACACAGACTCACTAGCTGTATAGGGTACTGCCGCGCGCATATCAGTGTGTGGGTTGGTTTAGCATACACGAGTACAGGGTCCCCCTATATCTGGAGTTAAGCTATTCTGCCACTAGCTAAGGAGTCCCCTGTGAGTCCTACCCACAGGAGGGAGTAGGGGATTGCATATGCGCCTGCATGCTTGGAGGATTGTATTTTTGTGCCACGAAATACATCTTCCACAGGAGGTGTGGACTCCGCACCTCCCTCCAAGCACGTAGCATGTAGAACAAATTGGACACACCAACATTATGCAAAATGAGTAACCTAGCAGGCTATTGCTGGTATGTATAATTATACTGGTACTATACTGTTACTAGGTGGCACCGGGCCTAGTGGGAAACCAGTCACCAGTCGGGCAGAGACGTCAGCAAGGTCGTCGGGTGGGGATCCGAAGGTACGCTGCGCTCTGCCATCGTCCCAGAATCTTTATTAGCGAGTCTGTTCTCTCTCTTTTGTGGTGGCCTACCATCTAAAGGGTGACACAGACGCCCTTAGAAGAATTGTGGGTGAGCGGTTTTGTAATAATGATGCATAGGTCGCTAAGAGGCTTTTGTGGGATCACTGTAGTTGTGAGATTGAGGCTAACGGTTCGGTGTTTGACGCACGTCGTGATAGCCAACCTTGATGATATTGTTCAAGCATTGGATTCGTCTGACACTATTCCCACTATCTACTGTGAGGCTTCTCAGCTGCACAGGATTCCTCCTGAGCTGCTGAGCAGCTATATACATTCTAACACGCAGGCGTTGAATGCCCTTCTCTCTGTAATTGTGGGCCTTGAAAAGAAGCTTTCCACTTTCTTAGTTCCTTGTGCCTCTCCAGTTGTTGCCTGTGGTGCTCAGCCAGCTGTCACCGTTTCCTTTTTTGCCCCTACTCCTGTTGCTACACATTCCTCTTCAGTGGTCTGACGTAAAATTTTATCCCCAGAGGCCTTCCTCTGCTGACGAGCGTGCGAGTAACCTTATCCTCTTTGGGTTGCTTGAGGGGAAATCCCTTGTTGAGTCGAAGAAGGTTTTTGATGAAATATTAAAGTTTGTTTCTGGCAAATCAGTTCAAATTAAGGATATGTTTCGATTAGGAAAGTAGGTATGGTCGACATCCTCCCTGTCTCGTCCATCCGATTCTAATTAAGTTGTTCACTCGTAAGCTTGTTTTACTTCGGAAGACTGCATTAAAGGACTTTCGCATAAAGCACCTATTCTTGCTTGAGGATGTGCCTCCTGATCACAAATTGTGTGCTAGGAAACCCATTGCATCTCCTGAGACAATTCCTCCTGGTGATCCCTCTGTGGACACTCCTGTTAGTTCTGTTTGCTGCTCATCCAAAAGCTGCTGATCCACTTACTTACACTCATTGCCCAGCGTAGTAGGTGTTCTGTCTCACCAGCCGTGTTTGAAGCTTCCTCGCAGTGCCCTGTACCAATTTGTGCTGTATCTCAACCTCCCTCACGTCCTTCTTCATCCTTTTCTGTTTCTCAGGGTAGCTTCATTAGCAATGATGGCTCAGCTTAGATCTTGCTCTTTCAATTGCGAATAGTGGTGTACATACTCCTAATAACTTTATCAATGCGCTTGATGTTAGTTTTTTTCAAGGGCATTGGGTATTAAATCTACATCTTCTGCTCACTCTGGTCCTTCTTCTTACACTGAATACTTTTTGTTGTCCGTGATGAAGTCAAGTTTACTTATGAGCGTGATGACGATCTCTGTCGTTCTTGGATCGATCATATTTTATGCTCTCAGCCTTCTTGTTCTTTTGTACATGCAATTCATTCTGGTTGTATTTTCAATAAAATCAGCCGGTTCCAAATAGTCAGTCGTTGTCTCCTAATCCGTTGCGGCGTGTCGATTGGTCGAGAGTCACACCATCTTGTATTGAGAAGTATTGCTCAATGGTCTGATGCATATCCCCACCTTACCACTGAAGTCTTCGAATGCTCATCGCCCTCCTGTACTGCTCATCATACTGTATTGGATACCTTTGGCTCTCATATCATCTCTACCTTGCTGACGTGTGCTCTCGCTTGTTTTCCTATTCACTCAGTCTCCACCACTCGTAGAAGACTTGTTGATTGGACTCAGTCAGTCAATAGATTGAAAGAATCATCGATGTTCTGTACAAGATCTGGGGGGAGTCTGGCTGTCCATCTTCTGGTTTCTTATCACAAGTAGAGAAAAATGTAAAGAGAAGGTATAAGTATGGGGTTCGTTGTCTTATACGCAGGACAAATTCTTTGCTCCAAAAGAAGCTTGCTTATTCTTTTCCCAAGAATAAAAAGTCCTCATTTTGGCTGATGTATGGAGTTCTTCATTTTCATTCACCCCTGTTGTTGATGTGTTTGCTTCAAAGCTTGAGGACATTCTCAATACACACTCTTCGTCACCTCACATCTCTCTTCAGTCTTCCATCCAATCTTCAGTGACTGCCTCCCATATAATATGCGATGTGGAATTCTCTGAGGATGACGTCTTGGATGCTCTCATAGCGGCAATTCAGACAGGGATGGGATATTTTCTGAGCACTTGATTTATTCATCATCATCTGTTATGGCATCTCTTGCCATCTTCGTCAGCTCACTTGTTCGTCATGGTTTTATGCCTCGGTGTCTGTGTGACTCTGTTCTTGTTCCAGTACCCAAGAAGAATAAGGATGCCACCTGTAGCCTTGTCTTCTTGCTTAAGTAAAATATTGGAGCATCTCATCATGACTAAGTATTCTGCCTATCTTTATTCTAGTCCACTGCAATTTGGTTTTAAACCTGGTTTTTCCACCACTTTGTGTTCTGGTGTTGTTAAGAATGTTGTTTCACGTTACATTCATAACAGTTTATGACTGTTTCCTTGATGCATGCAAGGCTTTTGACGTCGTATATCATAGTCTCATGTTTGAAAAGCTCATTGGTCGTGGTTTACCTCTCCCAGTTGTTTGTTTTCTGTCTTTCTGGTACAGTAACCAAAAGATGAAAGTGCATTTGTAACAGTCATTTTCTGAATCTTTTAAAGTGTCTAATGGTTTCAGGCAAGGTGGTGTCCTTTCTCCTGTCTTGTTTTCTGTGTATTTGCTCTCTTTTGTCTACTGCTGTTTCATCGTCCTCATCTTTAGTTCGTTCTGTGTTTATAGTTTCGTCCCAAGTCGTTTATTCTCTCACTGGGTATAATAGTTTCTATGGCATTCAACATCTTTCTGATTATAACTCTTCTGACTTCACTACAGCCTCTTTTATTACACATCTCAGACATCTTTATGGTCTTCATTCTCCCTGTGAAGGTATCATTTCTCATTTGTCCTCTTTGTAGTCGTTATTATGGTGAGTATGCTGCAATCGGTCCAGCCCTCGGTTGGCGATGGTATAGAGTCCAGAAGGCCGTGTTCTGCTCTCCACTTTCTCTCTACCTTTACTGGTGTGTGCATCACAATAATATTAATAATCAGGAATTCGGATGTCAAGCGATAAGACCTAGGGTCCGGTGCCGCATTTGACCGTACTGGGTATCCAAATCGACACGGTGGTCATGACCCTGAGTTTACCGGAAGAAAAACTCCGACCAATAGGGTCGTCGCTCCGGGAGTGGCATGGACGCGGTGCCGCAACTCGGAGAAATCTGGAGGGGACCCTTCAGAACGCGGTGCGACCCGGCAGATTATTCCTCAGGAGTATTTATGATCTTCTGGCCGGTACCAGCCACTTCAATTGATCCGTCTGAACATCGAGTGGTGGTACACCTTCCAACGGTCATGGAACGGTGTGGCGATCATCCACGATCCGGACGCCCGCACGGACGCGTCCGGCTGTTGGTGCTGCGGAGCCTATTGGAAAACGTTGTGGTTCCAGGTGCCATGAGGCAGTAACTAGCAGCGAAAGAGCTGTTTCCCATCGTGCTGGCATCCCTGCTGTGGGGTAGATTGTGGCAGGGGTTGATGGTGCTGTGCCGGTGGACAGTCATCGAGGTCGTCAACCAGCATTCGTCAACCTTTCCTGTGCCATCTCCTGCGGTGTATTTTTTCGCCAGTGCGCTGTTCGACTTTAGAGTCACGGCCCAGCTAGCATACCCCAGGGGCTACCAACATCGAAGCGGATGCACTGTCCCGGACTAACCTCCACCTTTTCTTCGTGCAGGTGCTGCGGGCCCTCCTCACTCCCCACAGTCATTCCACCAGATCTGCCACCGCAGCTGAGTCGGGGGCGTCCCGTCTGAACTTCGCAGACCTGGTTCGACTCTTTCTGCAGAACGCTCTAGCACCGTCGACTCGCCGGACTTACCAGTCAGCTCTGTCTTTTTGCTCATTGTTTCATCTACCTTTTTCCCAAGATACTCTAATGAAGTTTGTCGCGTGGCTAGCATGGCTGCATGTGCGGCAGTATGGCGTCGAGCCTGGCATCGAGGCCCGGCATATTGAAATAATATACTTGCCCGGGCGCGTACTCTCGACTACCTCCATTCAGCAGGCGTGTGCCTGGCAAAGCTACGTGGGAAAACTCCCCGCGTTAACGTTTATCCAGCTCATATACACTGCTTCTACGTTATATTTCATATTCACACGTTCTCCTGCATTTTCACACGCTTATTAGGAATGGTAGGTGGGCACCAATTGGAATTGAGGATGGACATTAATTGGAAATGTGGGTGGGAGCCAATTGGGATTGTATAATCTTTGGCACCGTTATTTTGTGTTTATCTGCTCTATTCCACCAATTGCTTTTGCATCTTTTTTCATATACGTTTATCCAGCTCATATACACTGCTTCTACATTTATATTTTATATTCACATGTCCTTCTGCATTCTATTTGGAACGGAAGGTGGGCACCAATTTAAATTGCTAATTGGAAATGAGGGCCGGAGCCAATTGGATCGGTACGGTTATTATATGCCTATTCCACCAATTTTGTTTTGCACTTTTTTCGTATGTCTAAGATCTTATTATTTTACGTTTCATCTTTTATATGCACCCTGTTGTCACACGTTTATTTGGAATGGTAGGTGGGCACCAATTGGAACTGTGGGTGGGCGTTAATTGGAGATGTGGGTGGTCTAAAATTCGAATGTATAAGCATTGACACGAATTTTGCACCTTTTTTGATACATCTACGTTAGCTTGCAATTTTTTTACCGTTTGAGGTTTATATTCACACGTTCTACTACATTGTACTTGGATTGATAGGTGGGCGCCAATTGGAATTGTGGGAGGGTGGCAATTGGAATTGTTATTGTTATCTGCCTATTCCACGCTGAGCATTTGCAGGTTATCCATGTCTTCGTTCTTATTGGCTTATTTACGTATTTTTTGCACCGTTGTTTTGCACGTATCAGTATCTCGACTCCACGAATTTTAGCATTTGCACGTTCTTTCACATACGTACGTTCTTATTGCCTTTTCCACACGTATCCACCACATATACACTTTATATTTTATATTCAAACGTTGTTATGTGTTGTCACACGTTTACTTGGAATGGTGGGTGTACACCAATTGAAATGTTGAGGGGTGCACAGCTATTTTACGTTTTAAATGCCTATGACGCGAATTTTTCATATATCTACGTTTTTATTGGCTTTTGTCTATGAAGTTTAACGCAGTTAAACGTAGTTAACTGCAGGAACCGGCTCTATATCCTCTGGCCTGTCCCCGCGCCGCACACGGAGGAGGCGGCGTGCGCACTCTGGCGTACGGGATGGCCGACTTGCGCATGCGCGGATGTTGTCTAGCTTTTGGTGCGGGAGCATTCACTCGTTTCAGCGAGCATTTTGCATTCGTTGTGCAGACGGCATCAGTGTCCTATCTCAGCAGCGCAAAAAGTCGGATTGCTGTATCTCAGCAGCGCAAATTCGGTGCATCCTGTTTGGTGATGTCCACAACGACGTCCGTAGCTACCTCGTCCGGCCGACCACCGGTGACAGTCTCGGCTAGCTGGGTATGTATATATGTATTTGTCGGCCTGGATCTCTTAGCCCCGCTTGGTGCATAGTTGCCCCTCGCCAGTGGGTTTTATGTGTTTTACTGGTGTATAACCCCCCCTTTGCCGTCACCGGCGTTTGCCTCGGCGTGGTTCGAGGGCATGCTCGTCCTGCAACCCCCTCCCGGGCCACCTAGGGTGCATAATCCGGGAGTTCACAGTACCCTCAGGCATTTCCTGTTATCACCGTGTTTGCCTATACCCTGTGCAGGCATTTCTCTCCCCGCAACCCCTTCCCCACTTTTTCGGCGTCGGGCGAGGAGCCATCAGTGCCTGCATTCTGCCCCTGGTACCTCCCCCCATCTCCTCCACGGTGGGAGACTTGTCTGGTGGTCTCATGCCGGCGTCGTCCTCCGCCGGCTCCGCCTCGGGTGCTACCAAATTACACCCGCCACCGAATCTGCTCCACAGCGGCCCCGCAGTGGTTCTGCCTCCCAAGGTGGCCAAGCTGATATTGGACTTGGACTTTGTGGAGATGTCCGAAATCTCCCTGGATGACCCCCCTCCATCCACTCCTGGCCACCACCGCAGCTCATCCACCCATACAGAACATTTCAGTATGGGTGGAGAAGTTCTCGGTGATGGCAGCCCTGTTAGTGTCACGGTTTCCACAGAAGGCCCCAGAGCTGTTCGCTTCTATTCGAGAAACTTCGACGACCGCTGTTATATACCCCACCCATCTAACGCATTTGCTGGGCTAGTCCTCTGGACCCTCATAACCTCACGTGCTCTTCAAACGTCATATCCCTCCTAACCCCATATCTGCCTTATTAGTCCTCTGTATCATCATCGGTCTTTATGTATGTACCTCACTGCACCTCTCCGTTATCAGTTCAGGGTTGTCATTACAGTTAACAGTAACACGGCGTTGCGTGGTAATTTTGCATAATACGTATTTAAGTTAGGTGAGGCCTCGGAAAGGGTAAGCGTGCATGTGGGGATTGTGCGGGTGAGGACCGCTAAAAGTGCTCCCCATCTCTGTCCTCTCCAGGATGGGAGTTAATGTAGCCCCTACACAGCAGACCTGAAGTGTCTGGATGCCTGCCGCCCTGTTAACCTCCATGCCCCTACCTGCTGTTGCTGTGTGTCTACCCTGCTGGTTATCCCCACATGGGAGGATGCCCTGAAGCCCCAGCCAGACCGGCTTTTGCCCAATACATCTAAGGGGCCTTGCGGTGTGGCTTTCGGATCGGATTTGACCGCTCGCTCCACCTTCAATCGGCCTCGGCCAATATGGCGTCAGCCCAGCTCCATCCAGAGGTGATCGACGAGTATCTGGGGAAAAGTTAGCCTGGGCCGGATGTTGGGCCCCTTTCGGTGTCTTTTCTCGCCACCGGATCTCCAGATAGACAGATTTTTGCGGCGTAATCCCCTAAAGGACAGTCAGGGAAAATGGAGCTTGATCACGGATTTGTCCTTCCCACCTGGCAGGAGTGTGAATGATGGTATTGCCCCCGAGTTCTGCTCCCTCTCATACGTTACAGTGGATCATGTCGCGGAGGTCGCTGCCAGGCTTGGTGTTAGGGCACTTCTGGCTAAGGTTGACATCGAGTCGGCTTATTGGCTGATCCCGGTTCATCCAGAGGACTGGCCTCTGCAAGCGGTCCAGTGGCGAGAACAGATTTTTGTGGATCCTACGCTGCCTTTCGGCCTCCGTTCTGGCCCCAAAAATCTTTAATGCTGTTGCCGCAACACCTTACACACTGGCACCTTGTGCATGGTGGCATTCGGTACCTCTACCATTATTTAGATGACTTAATCCCCCTCAGTCCTCCCAATGCCACAGGACCTCACCCTGCTGCAGCAGGAATGCAGTAGGCTGGGCATACCTATTGCTGCCCATAAAAACCGAGGGTCCGAGTACCTGCCTGGTGTTCCTGGAGATCAAATCAATACTGCAGTGGGGGGAACTTAGACTCCCAGAGGATTGCTCGAAGGTTGCAGTCTTTGTTGCTTCAATGGGGTAGTAGGAGGGTGCGTACCCGTAAGGAGCTGGAGTCGCTAATTGGCATACTTAACCATTGCTGTAAGGTAGTGCGGGGCTGGCCGCTTCTTTCTTGCGGAGGATGATTGAACTGCTCCACTCAGATCATCCGAGAATCGGCACAAAGGGACCATCCCAATCCGCCCCAACACCGACTTTCGGGCCGACCTATCGTGGTGGCCAGTCCTTTGTATCTTGTTCGAATGGTACTTCGTTCTTCCTTACAACCACCACCAGCTGCCAGTCCATCAGGTGGCCTCTGATAGCTTCGGGGAAGTGTGGCTGTGGGGTGTAAAGTGGTTCATGGTACAGTGGGACGGCATTGACTCAGGGACTCCTAATCACAGTGAAGGAGTTGTTGCCGATTCTTCTGGCTGGAATCCTTGGGGTAAATCATGGCGGGTGCTATGTCTCTGCGACAACACAAATGGGGTTGCTTGCATTCACATCCCGCTCGAGCAGACACAAGGGCTTAATGCATTTGACTGCGGAACTTGGTATTCATTGAGGCCCTACCATGGTTTTCCCCTCGTGCCCCGCTACATCGACACGCATGCTAACTACCTACCCGCAGACGACTTATCCGTGATCGTGTCCTCTCCAAAGGTCCCCCCAGGCCTCTCCTCGTCCAGTTCAGGTCCCACAACAGCTGATCAGTCTCCTGTTGAACCCCAGGCAGACTGTTATCACGCGTTACTGGAATGGTGTGGGTGTGCATCAATTGGAATTTTAATGGTGGACTGGTATTTTACGCGTATATCTACGTTTTTATTTTTGACTTTATTATTCGCACGTTCTTCTCCGTTTTCACACGTGTATAGGAATGGATAGACCAATTTGAATTGAGGGTGGGGCATTAATTGGAAATGTGGGTGGAGAGCCAATTGGAATTGTATTATCATTCGCACCGTTTTTTGGCGTTTTATCTGCTCTATTCCATGGATTGTTTAGCATTTGCAGGTTTTTTTCATACAGTGTTTTTACATTATCCAGCTCATATACACTGCTGTTTTACATGTTGTTCTTCGTTGTCACACTTTTTATTGGAATGGTAGGTGGACACGAATTGGAATGGTGTATGGGGATGTGGATGGTGTGGTGTGCCGGAGCCAGGATGAAGGATTTGCCCCGATCCAGGAACAGTCCCCTTGGAGGACGTAGCTTCGATGGTGTTTGAGAGCCGCAACGAGATCCTGTTGGCTGCCTCAAAGAGTACCAATGTCAAGGGTACCAAAACGTTTCTTCTTTCTCACTTCTCTATGTTCTTATCACTCTTCTTCTTTACTGTTCCACGTTTATCCTGCTCATTTTTTCACTTCTCTACGTTCATTTTTCACATTAGCAGGTTATTTGCACCTGTGCCTTTTCGTTCATCTGCTCTGTTCCACGTATTTCTGAGCATGTCGCCCGTTTTTTTTCACATCTGTATGGCCTATGCACACTATTTTTAACTCTCCTATGTGCATCCTGCTCATTTGCACTGTTTCTTCACTTCTCTCTCCGTTGAATTATAAGATGTTTTTCTTCGTTTGCACATGTTTATACAATTTGCAACCGTTATATTATGTTCATCTGCCTGTTCCACGTATTTTGCAGGTTGGTTTATTTCTCTACGATCTTATGCTTCTGTGCACTTTTTCTGACAGTTCTGCTGTTTTCTTCACTTTCTCTACATCTAAAAATCCTGCGAATGTAAAAAAGGCAATAGGGATGGTATAAACATAGGGATGGGGATACATGAAGCAATATGGTTAATGAGTAAGCTGACACCCCCACCGCATCACACAATCCCGTATATTATGCCTGGTGTGCTACTCTTATAGGGGCTAAAGGTTCTGCATTCTTTCCTGCCCCTGTTGTTCTTAGTAACATTTATAACCGTTCCCTTTATTTAAACTCCACTTGGACTGTATAACGGTGTTGGTAGCATGACTTTTTTTATATTATAAGTTATGAGTATTGTAATGGTGAATGTTTAAAACTTCACCTAGGCAACAATATAGGGATTGTGTGATGGGGTTGGGGATGTCAGCGTACTCAAATATGTTCATTAACCATGCTTCCATGTATCCCATTCCTCTTTATACAATCCCTATATGCCACTTTGTTTTTAATTCGCAGGATTTTTACTTTACTTTTCTCCACTCAATTTTTATCTGTGAAAGGGGGCAAGCCCCCTATAAAATTAATAATAGACAAAAACGCTTGTTGGCGTCACGCAAATGATGTAATACGCAAGTTTGATCTCCATGCATGCTACACAGTTAGCAAGGTTCAGGAGTGAAGAAGTATTACTAAGGAAAAGTGCTTGAGGCAATTTGTTCTTGTGGTCGTCACTGAAACAATATAGTGCGTACCAAGTTTTCACCTACATTAGCAAGTTTGAGGAGTGAAGAAGTAATTTTAAAGAAAAGTGCCTGAGGCTACTTGGTGGTCATGGAAACGATGTAATACATGCACACCAAGTTTCACCTCGGTGTGCTGCAGTTAGCAACTAAGTGAAGAAGTAATTTCAAAGAAAATTGCTTTTTCAATATGTGTTCGTCATGGAAACATGCAATCGTCATGGAAATGATAATATAATAGGCATATATACCAAGTTTCATCTCTATGCGTTACCATTGGGAAGTGAAGAAGTAAATTTATAGAAAAGTGCCTGAGGCTATTTGTTGTTATTTACAAACATGTATTATTGTGATTTTCATGTTGGCTATTAAATACATTAAGTAAACAAACTTTCCTTCACATAGCTCTTACCAAATGTGAGTTACACTGACACATGTAGTATTCCCATTGTTGTTGTTTACAGTAAACAACATGTAAAACAATAAGTCTCTTTGCATTACAGATATCTATGTTTTGTGTTTCATTTGCGTCTGCCAAAAATGCGAGTGGACACCCTTTTATGGAGGGGGTAGGGGTTGAAGGAAAAGTTATGGGACAAACGCAGAGATTTAGTTTGCTACTATCCTGTAGAGCTAAAGTATCAAAGTTAGTTTGAAGATATTTTCTTAATTTCTTTAACTAATGTGCCTGCACAAAATGCAAAACTGTTTCCACATTTATAAAGAGGAAGGAAAAGTGAAGCAACAGTGAGATATAGTTTGCTACTATTCCATACTCCCGCTAGATGTAAAGTATTGTTGATAATTTCTTCAACTAATGCGCCTGCAAAAATGTGAGTTGACACCCTTATAGAAACGGGGTAGGAGTGAAGAAAAAATGAAGGGACAGCGAGTGCTACTATTCCATTAGAAGTATCAAAGTATTTTCTTCAACTAATGCACCTGCAAGAAAATGCGAAACTGTTGTCACCCTTATAAAGGAGGGGTAGGATGAAGGATAAGTGAAGGGACGAGATAATGAGTTTGCTATTGTTCCATACACCCTCTAGAGCTAAAGTATTACTTATATTTTGATGATACTTTCTTCAACTAATGCGCTGGCAAAAATGCGAGTTGACACCAAAGAGGGGTATATAGTGGTGAAGGAAAAGAGTGAGATAGTTTGTT